AATGCGTACTCTCAGGCAATTTTGGGCTCTGAGGGGGGGCAGCGGGAGTACACGTTTTAGTGTTTTGGGCACTTCAAAGTTCCAAAATGCGTACTCCCAGGCAATTTTGGGCTCTGAGAGGGGGGGGTGAAAAGGGGGACGCTGTTCGCAAAGCTCTCGAAGAGCGGTTCAACGTTTGCCCGGAAAGTCGGACGCCGGAAATCCGGCAGCTCGTAGAAGAGCACTTGACAACCAAAAAGCTGAGCGCTTTGTCGTGCTGCTGTGGTAGATTGCTTGCCGTGGTGAGAAAGTGTGTTGTTATGGTGAGTATTGTGTTTGCTTGTCGTGGTTGCAACGCCCCCTCATGGGCATTAAAGAGGATTCAGGGGCCTGCAAGACTACCCCCTTTGCCCAAATGATTACGGCTAAGAATTTTGAGGGTTTTATATAAAACTGGTGGGCTGCAGGTTTAGGACTTGGTATCTGGATTCTGGATATAAAGCTCTAAGGATTTTGAAAGGCGTACCTTTTGAAATCAAAGAGGCATGAAAACTTTCCTACATTTTTAGGGCCCAAAAATCAAAACACACTATGGGGGCCTTGCAATCATTGACCATATCCTGAATAAGCAGGCCCCAAAAAACATTATAGGGACCTTTTGAAGAAAGGAGGTCCAACATTAAGGGAGGACTACGCAGATTATATTGTGTGCAAAGGAGGCGCTGCGCCATCCAACTGCGCCAATTGAAAATCTCTCTAAATGCTGCAACTCCCGGCGTCTACGTTCTTTGCAAAGCTCTGAATGTTGTAATTTACAACACTGGCATGCTGTGTCTTACGGTGTCTGCAAGCTCTAAAGAATTCCAAATTCTGTCATTTACATTATCTGCAAATTCTAAAAAGCTTCAAGCGTTGTAGTTCTGTCTACAGCTGTAGATGTTTAAGATATGCAGCTTCTGCGTGAGCCAAAATGCTGCAACTGACACTGCACGTATTGAAACAATCCATGAGGATCTCAGAGTGCAAAAGCGAGCACAGTTACAAGGATGGCGAGCCCAACCCCCACAATCCTTATGAGTGTCGATACTTCTCAAACTCTGCGCGAAGGTCCAAAACCAACAGCACAGCCTCTGCGCGAGCAAAAACGCTGCAAATTGCATTCCCCGTACTCAAACAATCCACGAGGATCAGAGGGTGCAAAAGCGACGACAGTTACGAGGATGGCGAGCCCGACCCCCGTCGATACTTCCCAAACTCCGAGCGAAGGTCCAAAACCAATGACAGTTGCGAGGAACGCGAGTGAGATCTCCGCATTTCCTGTAACTGTTGACATTTTCCAAACCCCAAGGGATGCGAGGGTCCAAAGGTGAGGACAGTTACGAGGATCGCGACCCCAACGCCGTCAATTTTCGTGATTGTTGACACATGTCAAACGCCAAGAGGATCCGAGGGTCCAAAAGCGACTGAAGTTACGAGGATCGCGACCCCGACCCCCGCAAATCCTGTGACTGCTGACACTTCTCAAAATCCAACCTCACCTTCGTAGTTAAGATCCACCCACTAGGATAAACACAAAAAACTCAAATACAACAAAAAATCACCAAAGAATTCCGGACCCGTTCTGCGAGTGTGGATCTGCTGTTGATCTCCAACTACCACACGCACGATCGCGTGTGTTCCTTGGTCGTGGCATTTCATGGCCACGTGAGGGCTGCTTTTGAGGGTTCTCGCCTGCGCTTTGCTCTTCTCCGGGATGTTTGTTTGTAGAGAGCTACTGCAGCTGGCACAGCGTTTGCAGCCGGTTTTGTATTGGGGTATGGTCCTTGTGCTCATGCTTGCACAGCAAGATGGAAACACGAGAAGCATCCGCCACATGAAGGTCTTTGCGGGCTTCCAAGTTGCAGGTATCTCGGCATGAGCGAGGTTGGCCTCTGCATCTACAAGAGCTTCTCGATGTTGGCGGGTGATTTGGTGCTGACCTCACTCCTGCAAGCTGCCTCTCAATGCATTCCGCAGCTTGGATTACGAAGCAAGAGATCTGTCGCGCATTTGCTAGGTTTTTGATGAGATCTACATGGTAGATGAGATCCTGGGGACGATTTACTTCTTTGTCGGGGGCTCATTTAGCAGGCAAACAAGCCATTACAGTCCTACAGGAGGACGTTCAGGGAGTGTGTGGGGAGCAGGCTGAGCGCTTTGTTCTGTCCCGCGGCAAGATGGGCAAGTACTTGAAAATTGCTCCAACCACCCGAGGAAACTGCGAGTAGGAAAAGAATGTCCTAGTAGGCAGCGCTCGCATGCAATTGCAGAAGCAAACATGTTACAACATGGCTCAGTTTCTGAGCCATGTTGTAGTATGACCGCCCTGATGGCATGCTTCAAGTCAGCTGAGTCAGGCGCGGCTAAGTCAGGCCCATAGAGCACGAGTGGAGAACAGATCAGGGCCTGAGTCAAGAGCAGAAGGCTGCGAGTTGAGAACAGGAAATTTGTACATTTGTCAGCAACACAGTTCCGGAAAAAGCGAGGAGGGGGTCAAGGGTTTTAGGGTTTCGTGTTTTTTGGATGTAGGGCCAATGTAGAGTTGAATCAATCTGCGCTCTTGATTGATAAGGCTGCCACCCGACCCCCCCACCCCTACTATATTAACGGAGCAAAGACTCAGCTTCCACAGAATAGAAAGTCATGAAAATAATGGGAAGGCAAAGCCTCAGACTCATAGGATGTTAGATTACACCTTAAACCATTTTGACCAAAAGAACCTTACTGGTCTGGATGATATTTACTGTAGTTCTGGGGGATTTTCAGCCCAAAAATGCCTTTGCCTGCAAACCCCTCATCAGGCAAACAAACATTGCTTTAAACCTAGGCGGTTCCATTAATCGACATCTTGGATTAGGGTTTGGGGTAGTTTAGAGTGTAGGATGTGTGGGTTCGTTAGGGCTTGGGGTGGTTTGGCGTTCCGGGAAGGTGTTTTTAATAGGGACTTGGGTTGTTTAGGGGTTCCCAGATTTCGGGTGGGTGCTTTATGATTTATGGTTTGGATTGTTTTGGGGTTCTTCAGGATCTAGGGTTGGGCTTGTTGGGGGTTTTGTGTTGGAGGGCTGTCTAGGAATGATAGGGTTTAAGGTTTGGGGTTTTTAGTTTGAGTTTAGGGCTTGAGACTACTCTAAATTTAGAGTTTGGAGTTGTGCAGGGGCTGGTCCTCTGCTCCCGTACTTGACACGTGCTGGGTCCGTTCCTTGCTCTGCTTGTTCCTGACTGCTGCTGGGCTTGTTCCCGATTGGTCGGCTGACCCCACTCACAGTTACTCATCTTTGAGCTGGAGTCCGTGGTTGCAGAACAAAAGCGCTTGAAAGGTGTTGATAAGAGCTCTCGCCATTTTGTGCTATCCTTGCTCTTGCCTGCGGCGAACATTACGGAAAGCTTCGCACAACTTGAGGAGGTGCTGCCAACCCAAACTCGGCCGTATGGTGGTTGTGATCTGCAAGCCCGGAATGCAGTTGTCATGTTGAAATTCCTCCAGAACCCAAAGTCCACTGCCAGCACGTGGCCTTGTTCTTGGCAGTGCATCATCATCACTTCATGGGCCATACCACGTTTGACAGGACGAGGGTCGAGCACATCAGGAGTGATGTTCACTGGCTTGCAACAGATTTCGAGACTCCATTGATTGCAGCCGTAACGTTTACATACCTTAACAACAAGAGCTTGCTTGCTTTTGTACGGTGGTTTGAGTCCTCGCTCGCATGCTGTGGTAGTGATTTCGTGTGAGACAGTATGTGCTTCGAAGGCTAAAGCGGCCTTTCTTTCCCACAGCAGCCCTTAATTTGGGGTGTGTTTGTTGCTGGCCGTATTTTTCCCGCCTTCCATTCTCGGCCTCTGCCGTCCGCTTTTGATTGTTCCTGCCTCTAGCTTTCTATGTCTTGCGTCTTGCTCCTTGCTTCTGTTTACGGCTTTCTGCTTCTAGCTGTGTTGGTGTGACCTGTTTGCTTGGGTTCGGCATGATCACCCGGCCCTTGTCTCCCATGTGTGCGACATGTTTACATGTACTTTAGTGGCCAGAGGTGGTTGTGTCCTACTATGTATGCCCTCTGGCAGTTGAAAGAGTTTAGTCTGCTTCCAGTTCCTGGTATGAGTGTTAAAGACGAACCATGTTTACATATGCTGCTAGTATTAGTAGAATGTTAAAAACTGTTCTTGTTTTTTTTACTTCTCGAAGCTTCATATATGTTAGACGATGACTGTGAACGTTACTATCATTGTCATCATTACCTATGTTCCCATGTTGATCACATTCTGCATCTGTTATTAGCATCATTAATCATATTGTGCGTTATTGCTAGTGTGACTATAATTGTGACACTCAGTGCCATCATCACTGAAATGCTATTGTTTGTATCGTTGCTCTCAAAGTGATCGCCACACCTACTAGTAATAGTGCTAGCACGTGTATTATGGCTACAATGTTTGTTATCTCCGCTGCCAGCACTTCCACAGCTAGCGCCACGGCTGTTTTCAATCGCAAACAATGCTTCTGTCACGGTTATTACGGGTAATTACGACCTTTTCTATTTGCATCTTCATGAGGACTGTTAACTATTTCTAGTTCTAGTAGTTTGATTGATGTTCCCATTGGTATTAGTCTTGTCGCTAGAATTAGTGTTACTGCAAGTAGCATTCTTAGTCCTAATTTTGTATGTTACTGTTGCTGCTCCTACCGCTACTACTGTTGTTATTGCCATTACAACTGCCACTATTATCATCTTCCTATTGCCACAATTATACAGGCACGTGGTGTGTAGTCTGCTGTGGGGCGGGAAGCAACAGCGATGTCGGCATCCAGGTATTGTTTTCGCGTGGGAGTTGGCAGCGTTTCCGGTTTGGAACTTTTTCGAGGTTTTTTTGTGTGCCTCCTGGCTGCGGAGGATCCAATGAGAGCATGTAATTTGTTGTGAAGCTGGTCAGGGATGGTAGGTGATTCCAATTTTTCTGATTTGACACGGCTTGGCTGATCCGACCGGCTGATGACGACATGAGTTCCCATGAGTTTTTGACCCTGCTTCTAGTCGAACTGACTGCTTTTGTGGATGCAATGCAAGTCAACATCATGTGTGCTTGACTCCTTAAGCCTGCTTTCCATCAGCATGAAGAATGCCAGCTCTGTTGAAAAACCGCCTAGTTTTTCTACATCCTGTTCTACCTGGTGCTCATCAATATCTTTGTGACTTTGCTGATGAGCGGCCGGCCTCGCGAAACCTTGACAAATTCTGTCCGTCTTTGCAGACGTGGCATGTTCTGACAGGATATGATGTTGTTGATTACGAACTGCAGAAGAAGGGCCTCAATGAGAAGGCACCGGAGCTTCAAGCCATGCAGTGCAAACCGCGACTGGAATCTCAGAGGGCTGGCAGTTGATCCTTTCCAAGGAGAAGAACCCAATCATCTTAATCTTCGAGGAGCTCAAGGCAGATGTTGTCTGGCGCTGAGGGGAAGGCGTCTCAATCAGTACGGGTGGGCTTTGTGGACCAATTCCTGCGTTCGGGAATGCTTGAATCCAAAGCAACCGAGGTTGGCAACATGCTGAAATATGGCGCTACATTCATCAAGTTCCCCATGCAAGTAGAAGCCGAAGATAGCGAGAGAGAGAGAGAGGCACATATACATACATACATACATACATACATACATACATACATATATATATATATGCAGATATGTATCTATCCATACACAGAATTCACACGCACCCATATATATATATATATCTAGAGGCACATCTTGTCAGTTGTCTATTCAGAATAAGCATGGCATGACATGCATGATGATGCCACATTGCCATCCAGGTACGCGACCATTTGCCTGGACCCCATTGTGGTTTCCATTAAGGCACCTCCGGCAGAGTGTAGGATGAGAATTGCTTTGCCTTGCTTGGGCTGATAAGACTTCAGCTTTGGCAGGCGTGTTTCTTCTGCTCACCTCCAGCGTTCTTGATGCCTGGGCAGAGGCCCCATGAGCTGACCGGGAAATGAACCCCCACCCCCAACGAACCCACATTTCATGCTCATAGTGGGTACCTCAGGCCTATTAACCCACAACCCTAGTCCAAGATGTTCCAGTAGTGACACACGAACGGTAGAAGGGAGAGTTGTACTAGGACTTGTATTCAGGATCTTTTCATGTGGCTGCTGCACCAAAGGCTGGACGAGTTTTGGCCCAAAATTAACGTCTTGGATTGACCCAGTGCCGCGCCGTGGCGTGTTCGACCATGTCAGCACCAAAAGCCATCCCATCCGCGTGCCACTCGTCCCGTTGCGCAACACCGGGAGAGTTTTTTTCAGATTGCAGCTCTCACTTTCCCTGGATTTGGCGAGCACGGCTATGCGTGGCTTTCCAGCTACTCTTGGAAGTCCCCTTCGCTTTTTTTGATGCGCCCAATATTATGAGCGTGAGCATATGAAAATGTGAATCTTCGCGCAACAGAATCATCAGCCCTTGCACCCATAACCAAAAAAAATCGGCTTTTGAGTTGAGCGTGGAGAAACCAAACAAAAATGAAAGACTGGCAACTCTAGCTTTCACGAACTGTAAGGAAGCAGGGCTTTGTTGAGGCCTTTCAGGAACCCGCCTTCGAGCTTCATCCAAAAATGTAATACAGCACTTAGTTGACGTAATCTCTGATCCCAAATTCAAATCTGTCATATAAAGCAGGAAGTCATCTTTATCAGGTGCTGCGCCGGGGCTTCCGTGATTCTGGTGAGTGTTGTGCTGTTTCAATTGGATGCAAGGGCTGCGTGGCCGCAGGGTACACTGCTGGTGCAGATCATGAAACAATAAATTCGCCCGGTTTGCGAGTGAGTTGTCGGCCTGGTTTGGACATGCGCAAGGTTGGTGTTTGCATTTGAAAGCAGTGCGCCTCGCGCCCTCCATCCTACCCCCAGGATATGGGACCTTGCGTGTATGCGCAAACTTCGGGAGGTTACTGGAGACTGGATAGTCCCCATCAGCAGTAATCATTGGCACGATGGCGCATCGCAAGGTGCAGCGAAAGGCGTCACAAACTGGCGGCATCGACCTGCGGACTTGCCCGAGCCTTCGATCGCAGTGTTGCCTGCGCTGGTGGATCTTGAATTATGATGGGGCTGAGGCACTTGCTGCAACAACGGGCACTGGAAGTACTTAACATATGTCCGAGCTTTCGCTTCTAAACGTTTTTTGCCGGCAGAAAGCCCAATTTCATGACCCGCGCTGCTAGCGAGGCAAAGTAACCTTGCACGCAGAGGAAAATCCCTGCGCACAGACTTCTCATTGAATGACGCCGTCAGACAGGCAATCTAGTGTCAGCCAAATGTCGCATAGTTAGAGTTTGCTGGTATTCGGCTCCATGGCTGTCACAAGCGCTTGGGAAATTGCAACAACGCATTCAAAAACCAGGCGCATGTAAACCTTTCATTGCGCATGGGCCCGGCATCTTCGTTGCTGCCTTCAGTTTTTCTTCCGCGGGCCGAGAACCCATCGGGTCACAAAAATGGCGTTGGGCATGCTGGAACGAATGAACTGCTCTTCATGACGAGTGTCAACAGAAGCCATCGGGAGGGCACAAGAGGCGCCTGTCAAATGAACCGCGCGCACCTTACCCGCCGTACATTTTGGGGAGTACGAACCAGAAGCCAAGTTGCATCTACACAAAGTTCCCAAATTCCAAAATCGTTTTCATAAACACTTGTACAGACTGCTAGGTTGCCAGAATTGCAAAGTTGAGCTGTCAGCTTTTCAGTATGTTTTTCAGTATTTCAAAAATTTAAATTTGGAATTTCCCCGATCCAGAGGATTCCAGAAGCCTGACATTACCTGACGCGTGGTGGATCTGCGGTTTCTATGTACCATGCTGACAGCCCCTGATCCTCCAAAAAAAGCTCGGCTTGGGATTGCTCCACTTTGGGGCTTAGGGGGATTAGGGCAATAGGGAATCATGGAAGGCAAAGAAGCACGGGGTGTAGGATCATGCCGAGCGTTGTATCAGGATTTCCAGTGTCCACATTAATCTTTGCGTTTGGCGTTGTTGAGTACAAATAGCACTGAGCTTCAACATGCTTCTCACATTGGGCTTCAGTTGCGTGCAGGTTAAAACTACAGTATAGCGTTTTTTTATAGTTCAAACAAATATTTGGGTTTGAGGAACTGCGACTGGACACTTGTTGGAGCTCCAAACATGCATGCTGACTTTGATGTAAGGACTCCTTGTTGACTTGCACGCTTCCTTTCATAGTCAGCCTAGGAAACAATGTACTTAGGATTGGAATCTCGCAATAGGTACGTGGGAAGGTTCTGGTGCTGAAGATGGCTTTTCAAGGGTTGAGAGATATCATGTGGAATCATGTGCATGAGTTCGGGGAACAACCAGCTCATAGACAGATCTCGCCCGTGGTGACCCTTAATGTGAAATATTGGAACAACAATCCACTAGTTGACTACTCTGCTTTTGAGCTCCGCAGGTGGTATGTGCTACTATGCCCTAGTCACAAAAGCTCCAGCGTCTTGCATTGCAAGTTTTGGACCCAGAACATGTTGGAAAAGGGGATTTTGGAGGGATGGAACGATCTGCATGGTTTCGCTGTTCCATCCATTCCAAATATTTCCATCATTCTAAAGATTGTTGGAAGGGTCTTTGCTTAGATAATGGGGTAATATGAGGTTTGAAAAAAAGGTGTATCAAAGGTAAGCTGGGGCGATCAGATCCAAAAAGGTGAAGGAGCGGTGAAACAAAGCTGCCAGAAAGCTGCTTCTGACGTGTGACATGTGCATGCAGTGGCTGCTACAGGCTGCCAGAAATGCTCTCAGCAGCAGCAGCCCCTTATACATCAGAAGGGTTCAGCATTGGCCATGGCACATCCCATTTGCCTTTCTTCGCCTTTTTACTTGCCTTTCCTTCGCCGCTTGTTTGCCTTTTTATTTGTTTACTTGCCTCTTAGTCATCTTTAGTTTACCTTTTATGTGCCTTTTATTTACCTTATATTTGATTTTATTTGCCTTTTAGTTGCCTTCTATTTACCTTTTATTTACTTTACGTGTTTTACCTTTCTTTTGCCGTTTATTTGCGTTCTACCCTATTGTTTGCCTTTTATGCGCCTGTTCGGGCTTCTCCAGTTTGCCTTTGCCGTAGCTTTCGTTTACCTTTCGGTCAGCTTCAGTTCTCCTTTTGTTCAAAACCAATTTTTCAGACTACCTAACTAAGGACATTCCAAACATATTAGACTTATAAATTAGATTCTGGAATAGGAGACTGGCTTGCATTTCCGCAACTTGGAGTACAGGGATGATGGAGCTATAGGATTTGCACATAACCTTTCAAATCAATTGGAAGATCCCTGTTAAAATCTCTGCTTGGACCCTTTCTGTAACGTTACGAAATGCGTGTTACTGCAGATACTCTGAACTTGTGAGGTTGTAGTGGCTGAGTTGCCAAATATGGATACGAAATTGAAGTGTTTTTTTGGGAGTGACAAAATCGTACACATTGGTTGCCAGCTTCATAATTCAGCGGCGTGGATCTGGGTTGGCGATGCTTGATCCTGATCCCATCGAACCACCCTTTCTTGACACGAGACTCAACTTTCTGTCGCGGTAGTCTGCCTTTCAGCGTGGAGCATGGAGCTTCACGCTACTTAAGAATCGGTGGGCTTGAAACGCATTTGAGACATCAAGCTCGCTGTGTTTCAGAAGCCAAAAGTCTTAGTCATCCTTATGCAATTTATGCTGGAAGCATTTTGAAGACATAGACCTAGCCCATCTCGTGTGCAGGACGAAGCAGCCGGAAACCAAGCTCATCAGGAGTAAGGCTGTGTGCACCCTCTCAAACACCTGATTACTTGATTGCTGAGACGCGGCGGCGGGATCGCTGAGGGTCAGGTTGCCCAAGCACACCATGCAGAGGACGCGCAACATGTCTGAAGTTGTTGGGCACAGACATGCGCACAGCACTGATGGCTACTGTACGACTCACCAGCATATCTCCAGCTAGTCAGCGAGGCAGAGGTTGCTACAAACTTTAGCGCGCGTCTGGGTTCAGACTTAGTCCTGTCCGCAGAGGTGTCACCAACATGCTGCCAGCAAGACAAAGTCGCTCGACAGTCCTGTGTAGGTTCGAGCAAGCTGGGTGGGTTGACGCTCCGCATGCTATCCCCAAAATCAAAAGCGTTGCTGGTGGCAGTTTTCGTATTCCTGTACAAGATGTTTTGTCCAACATTTCCTGCCTGCCAGTGATGGGCTCTTTGCCCGCTCACTTTGTCCTTGCATCCTGGGTGGTCCAATGGACTCTAAGTTTCAAAGGAAGCAAAGCCAATGACATGGTACATGGTGCCTTACCTATAATTCTGCGCAATGGCGCCAGAACGCAAACCATCCAACTGAACAGACAGAGATCGTACAGCAAACAAAGCGCAGACAGGCGGCCTTAAAGTGGAAGCCAGCGACGGATTTTGCACAAGTCCTCATGTGTCCCGCCAGGATCATAATGATCCAGAGCAACAATTTCAGCGCAATCTTGTTGGCTTCACAAGCATGATCGTGGCAGCCTCAGTCGCCCTGTTCCGGAACTTCAATCTGAGGGTGAGAAGTTACGTCGCCAGCTCGTGCCAATTTGAATGGAAGTAAGCTAAAAGCACGTTTGAAGGTGTTGCGGTGCGTAAGTCGTTAGAGGTAGCTGCTTAATCCAAAGAGCTTGCGGATTGACATCCAACATGAGGTCTTCATGTTGGCCCCGACCTTATCAGCAATGGTTATCTGGTTCGATGCATCCATTGTCTTGTTCCGGCCCAAGGTGTGGATCAGTTTGATGACGTTGCAGGGCCGAGGCGTTGACAGCTTCCTGGCCTCTAAGGCGCTGGCTTGCTGCTTGCTGACTGCGGGCACTTGGCACTTTGCGCCCACCAGACAGCAGACAAACACTTGCTAGATCACTTTTGAGAGGTGACGCTGCATGAAAGTGCCCTGGAAGTGATGTTCTCCAACATTGACGACAACATCAAGGAAGGGGTGCGAAGCAGCGCAGCACTTTCGCAGTTGTTCTCTTTACGTTCACTTCGCCTGCGCTTTCAGAGCTTCGACAACATCCACACCTTCTCGGAGGTCAAGCCCTGGGCGGTAGCCTGTTGGCAAATTGCTGCGGCACAAGCTTTGCTTGAAGACTTGTTAAGGCTCGAGGCTCATAAGCTGCAGGCGACATGCAGGTTATTGCAGGAAATCGTGCAATATCGCATGGTGTTATAGTGGCTGCAACACCTAGAGCTAGACTCTCTGTCTCGGGCGGCAGGCGTTCATGCCTCAAAAGTGCTACGTACGACAAAGATTGACTCACCAGCTGAGGAAGCAGCAATTGTCGGGCCACGGGCTGAAACCATTGAGATCTGAAGCTCTGAGTGCAGTGACATTTGTCAGGCTCTACAACAACCCTACGTGTGCTGAGAAGACTGTCTCTGGCAGCAATTGGCAAAGCAGTGCCGTATGCAACAGCGCAAACAACTCGCCGCAGTCTCAGTGATGAGTCGGGTGACAACTGACAAGAGAAGAGGACAGAGACTGTACAAGTATAGATGGTGCGTAAGAAGACTGCCAGCTAGATGGTCCAGACAAACCTGATCCAGGGGTCGGGCGAAGCCATTTGAAGAATGTTCTACAAGCCCACGAAGCCAGAGGATCGGCATCAAACAGCGCGAGAGATGATGAACAGACAACCAACAAACATCAACAAGCCTCAAAGCTTGTCATGCGGCCAGAAGGAGCAGGCGAGGATGGAAGAAGGCAGGAAGGAAGGAGCAAGCCGCCTTGAGCGCTACAAATTACATTATCTGTGACTTCTGAGAAAGTGTAGATGTCATAGTCATTCAGCAGCCACAGGCAAAGCCCAACAAGTGCAGGTTCCACGACTCAATATATTTGCGGTGCCGACAGGGGGAAGGAACCCCAAATGCTGTAAATGGGGCGGTATTTGCAGCAATGGAAGACTTTCAAATGCCAGATATCAGTATCTGCAACTTTCGAAAGACTTCCAGAAGAGCCAGCTGCTGTCTTTAGCAGTATTTGCACCTCTTCAGACATGCAAATGCTGTTAATGGCAGAAGGAGCAGCTTGCTTTTTGTTGAACGGCCATGCTTCCAACATGGTCTGATTTTTGATGTAACTTAAAATGCTGCCACAGCTCCTCAAGGGTCCACAAATCAAAAGGCTGCGCCTACCCAAACTGACTTTTTGAAAGAGAGTGGCCTCACTTCAAACATGATCATGGTGAATCTTCAGCCACCTTCCTCAAAGGTTTGCGCATGGGGGCCACGCAGGTTCCGCCCAATCCACCCACCTTCTGAAAGAGTGGCCTACATCAACCATGATTTCTCGTGACTTCTATGTGCACAGGGGGAGACTGCGCCCCCTCCAACTACAGAGTGGCCTCACTTCAACGTGGCGTCTGATGAACATAGACGTATACCATATACTGCATTGCTATTGGGGCAGGCTGCTACTTGTGATTTTTTTCTGATTTCTGATGGGGTTTCAAGTGCTGCCACATTCCTCTGGTTTCCAGGAAAGCTGTTTAACTCCCCGAACCAGACGGTTCTTATTTTGAAAACAGCTTCCAATGATGATATGTTCTTCAATGGTTTGCAACATGGTTGTAATTCGCTTTCGCTGCACCCGCAAACCTGCAGCTCTAAGTTTTGAGCCTGCAGGGCCAAACGCTGTAAATCGCCTTGCCCAAAACCAGCCTTTTGATTTATTCCTTCGTCTTGTCATTCTGATCACCAGATTTAGTTTTGATCCTTGCTCACTTGCTTCTTGTTATCCATCAGAATCTGATCCATCTAGCCTTCCTCAGGGGCATCAACCATGCAGGCAAAGCCGCTGGCTGCAGACCTTCCAACGAAATGCATAACTGGGTGAAGCCGCAGCGCTTCAGAAGTTTCCCTTGCTTCACGAACCAAATTTGGCAGTCCCTCTTAGACACTTCCTGTGGATGCCCTGCTCAAACGTGCTGAAACACGGGTTCGAAGACCTTCCGCAGTATCTGCCATGGAGGTCCATTGGGTACTAGAAAGCCATACTCTGGTCAGCAGTGAAGAGGCAAACTCCTGACTTGAAATCTATGGTTTGTGTCGTTTTGCGCTGCCTAGACGCCAAGAGCTGTCAAGGGACCTTGAGCCCCCAAACCGTGTTTGCTGTTAGGCACTGTAGCAGAATTGCCTGACCTCATTTGTATTCTGACGAGGGGGTGTTTTGCAATGCGTGTGGGTCAACAGTGGGGTTCGAAGCAGAATGATCCAGTACCTGGTTCCTGATTCCAGATCGTAGCGGGACGGTTCCTGGAACGTTTGGGGAATGCAGCTCCACCATGTCACTCCGCCTGGACGAATGCCAGGGGACGTTGACAGAAAAAGAAGACGAAGAGGAATTATTTACTTCGAGCATCCCCACCCTAAAGCCGTTATTGCACAAGAAGTGTAACGTTTCCCTGCCACCCCTCAGCTGTCTTCCTTGCAGCGCTCCAAATGCGCTGCAAGAATATTGATA